CACTCAGGGTATAAGGTACATAAGGTCTAAGTTTTAGAGGTGCCACCCACCCAAATCCCAAAGGGCTCCTCTGGAAGCTGAAATAAGGACTGTACCAAGACATGCTGGAGCTTTCCAAAGTGTTTCTGCCCCAGTACCACTGGTGCAATCACCTCTACCTTGGCATCATCGTGTCTTACAAGAAACAGCAGTTACTAAGTGCAAGCAGGAAGGTCTCGGGGACCAGCCCTAGAACAGAGCAGAGTTTGCTTCTGTGGATCTTGGAGGCAAAAGGGCACTTTCTGAAGGAAACGTCTTGCATCTCCTGCTAATCATCTCTTAGTCTGAAACAGCTCCCATGATGTACAAGTCTGCTCAGGACCCGTGGTGAGCACGCAGTGCCCTGCTCACGGTACTCGTTACATCAGCATCCCAGCATGACGTCTATCAAGACGATGAAGAAGGGGTCAGCACACATCTCGAGTGCCTCAAAGACTTGGGGTGTTGCAGTACAGACCCCCCCCGCGGGGCACCCAAGGCTTTCTTCCTTCACAGTGAGCAGGGTCCCAGCCGAGCAGAGGAACACCTGTTACAACTGACACAGCTGGTAACCGGGAGTGGGAGGTTGGAGGGGAATTGGCCACCAGAAAGACTTCAGTATTCAGCTATTTAATACTGAAAACACAGCAGTGAAGGCGACTGCTGACCCAGAGGTTGTGGGTAGATACTAAGCAGTATGAAGCCTAAAACCATCACTGCCCGCTTCTCTGCGGGGTCTGTGCTTCCCCCACGCTGTCCTGCTTACGTGGGCAGCAGCCCCTGCTCATACCTGTTTGCAGGACATTTAGGAAGCTACTACAACCGACACCCACTGGCTGCCACCAGAGCGTAAGAAATCCACCTGCTTCCAATTCCAGCCCATGAGTTCTTACCTATGTATCACAGAATACTGTGAAAATTAATTCCTACAGGCACAAGGATTTATGAAACTGTACAGGTAAAATGAAGTTAAATGACAGATCTCCCTCCCCTTAGCTGAAACCAATTTCTGGCATTTTATCTAAATAATTATATTTATTAGTTATGTATATGATTAGTATGAGATTGCTATGGGTAGGTTTAGGTTGGACATCAGGAAAAAATTCCTCACGGAGAGGGTGGGGAGGCACTGGCACAGGTTGCCCAGAGAAGCTGTGGATGCCCCATCCCTGGGCGTGTTCAAGGCCAGGCTGGATGAGGCTTTGAGCAACCTGGTCTAGTGGAAGGTGTCCCTGCCCATGGCAGGGGGGTTGGAACTGGATGGTCTTTAAGGTCCCTCCCAGCCCAAACCATCCTGTGATTCTGTCATTTTAACTTTGTGATGACTGGCACGATTTTAGCGTACCATTCCCAAGCTTCACACCCCAGCTGGCGTTTCTTAGCATAACACTGCAGTATTGATTTGAAGTTATTACTTACACACTGAAATCAGATTGCTGAAACGTCGCATTAACTTCTCACTAAAGTTTGTTTCTCTTGTCAGGAGAAAAAAAAAACTCCTGGAAAGACACAATCAGAATCGACCCTTTTGAAACCAAATATATTTATTTTTGTATTAATCTGTTGTTATAAAATCACTACTTACACAGAAGATTCATCATCACTTCTTTCCCAAGCATCCACATACCGCTTTTGTAAACAGCCCGTCTCATCAGACTGCAAACTGCTCCATCTCGTGGTAACACGGCAGCATTAATACAGCACAGAAACATCCCGACAGCTTCACCTTCTGAGGAACTGGTATCCACGCTGAAGAAATGTGACAATTACCAGGAACTGGTGGCATAGATATATTCCATTTGCCTTCGAGACAATTTTGGTGTCTTAACCCAAAGCAAGGTGGTGGAGGAAAAAAAAAAAAAAAAAAAAAAAAAGCCTGGATGAATCCCAACATGCACTGACCAGAAAGCACAGGCGGCTTATTGCTGTTTTTCCACATTCAGGAGGTATTTTGATGTTCAAAGTGCAAGCACCTGTCACACTCAGGACACCTTTCTGAAATCTCGTTGGCCAACTAAGCTGCTCCACACTGCGGGGGGTGTGAGACTGAGACCCAAGAAGCCTGGCTTGGACACAGTTAGGAGGCAGATGTTCAGGACTGCTTTTTCCAGTCACCTCAGGAATGCAAGGGAAGGAGAGGAACGGGAAGTTAGAACAGGTAATTCAAACTGATAATCTGATTCTACCACTGTGCTGCTGTCACAAAGCTAAATTAACCACCCCAATGATATTCCCTTACTTGGTTCTCCTGTAAGATACTTCAGTTCTGAGGAATCTGTAGAAACGAGTGCAAAAATGCTAGTTTCACCTTCTGATCAGCTTTAACCCTAAAGAAACAGCCCTTCTTAACAGAATTATTTAATCTCCTAACTCCTAAACGTTGACATGTATTATAGATGATTGAGAGGAACTTCATACAAGTGGAAACTGTAAAAAAACCCACTAAATTAAAATTATTAAACGTACAAGTTCGGGTTTTTTTTCCTTTTCCAAATGCTTCTCTCTTCTGACTCAGTTTTAGAATCATTTGGAAGCCTGAGCAATTGGCTATGAAGCAAGTGAGCTGGCTGCACAGCTTTAGCTAGTATTTCTGGGGATTTCCCTAAAAAGCTGTGATAAATTCTAAACCTTTACCCTACCTAAAACTTTTGCTGGCTCCAAACAGCAAAGGCCATGCCCACCCTTTTCTGGAGGCAAAACATTAAGGATTACCTTTAAAAGCGTGATGAAAGACTTTATATGTTGTAAGTACCGATCGGCTGTTGCGCTCCTACGGCTGTATTCCCTAATAGTGAGGTAGCAAAATGAATAGGGTCAAACTGATCCATTTTCAATTTTCTTAAGACAAAAATTCTACTATTCAATCTCCTCTTGTACCTTCTTCAGCCAGCACCGTCACTTAGGTCCGTGTGCTTACGTACGCACGTCAGAAGAACCCTTAGGTACCTGTGCCAGCATGGATATTCGCTCAGTGCTTTTATTACAAGTCACAGCTTTTACTGAAATACGACAGAGATCTATTTTGCTACACCACCAAATCAGAGTTAAATTAGCAACAATGTTAATTAAGTTATTTTGCATTTGCTGTGGTGTAAAACACGCCTTACGTCCCCCGATTTGTTTTTCAAGGAGTTCAGCTCTTGAATTCAACTCAACAAGTCAACAGAGTCATTTAGGCTTTAAGATCAAGCCCAGCCATTAACCCAACACTGCCAAGTCACCACTAAACCACATCCTGAAGCACCACATCCACACGTCTCTTAAATCCCTCCAGGGATGGTGACTCCACCACCTCCCTGGGCAGCCCATTCCAGTGACTGACCACCTTTCTTTGAAGAAATTTTCCCTGATACCCAATCTAAACCTCCCCTGGCACAACTTGAGGCTGTTTCCTCTTGTCCTGTCACTTGTCACTTGGGAGAAGAGACCAACCCCCACCTCTCTGCACCCTCCTTTCAGGCAGTTGTGGTGTCACATATTTTGATGGAGACGAACTACCTTAGCCATGAGAAATCTTGCCCAAGTTTACAGCGTATTCTCACAACAAAAAAGAGAGTTAATAAGCACAGTGTGGCTTTGGCGAGTAAGGAATCAGAAACACATCAGTTAAGAAGCATACCCAGTTTCTGACCCTCTCCGTTTTACTCAGTTCAAGAGGTCTATTCCCTTGCTGCACCCTCTGGAACGGTGCTCAGGAAAACAATGACCCATACAGATCACCCATAGTTGTTTATCACCTGCAGTAACCTGCTAGCACCTTTTGTTACCTCCGAGGTGTAATATTTTTTGGTATAATATACAGCAAATGAGAGGCAGGGCAGGTACTGTAGCACACGGAAAATCTGGCTGGGGAAGAAGAATTCCAAGTACTGAAATCTTCTAAACCAAAAGAAAGTTGGAAGGTTCCTTGTTGTTAAAACTACTCAGTCGAAACTTTTTCTGCCGCTTTCTGCTGGCGAGATGGGCCTTACACTCTTTTTTGCTGTAGCTCTAATTCCTACAGGAAAGACGAAGGGCATGCTCTACCTTGGAAACTCTGTTTATTTGACCTCTGTCCCAGGAAGGAAGTTGGCCATAAACCAAAAACTCACACTGCTGGGTGAGCGCTGCAACCACTGATCTATTTTGGAAGGCTGCAATTATAGACAGGAGGTGGGCAGCACTGTCAGCACCTCCTGCTTCTGATTTTAAAAAAGAAAAAAGTTATGACTGTATTTGGCAAAGAGTCCAATGCTATCTTTGTGCATCAGCCATATTCAGAACACGCCTCCTTGATCAGGCCCCTTGAGATGTAAGGGGTGGAGAAGAGTGTTCTGAGAGATTAACTTCAGCCTCATCCCTCCAGCTCTTTCTGCATTTGGGGGAAGAAGAGAAAAAAACCTGACTCCTCCAGAGGGTGATTCAGAGCACCTAAATTTAGGTGCCTGCTCTGAATCACTCCCTGCTTAACCCAGGGAGGCACCCTGGGACAGATTCCCTAGGCAAAGGCTATCCTCTGCAACTATTCCTCTCTCGACATCCCCTCAATCACCAGTTAACATTCTCACCTGTTTCTCGACGCCACCTCAGCTTAGGTGGGAAGTTGTCAGCTATCCCCCCACACCCGTGAGGCAAAAAAAAGGAAGCCGTGTCAAAGTTGTCTACATACCTGTTTAGGAGCTGCCCAATTCCAGAATTCACTAAGCACGTAGACTGATCTTTAAAACTTAACAATCCACCAACAGTTTCCTACTTTGTTACAGACTTCAGCGAAGATGCAAAGCTGGCACTCAAGCAGTATTTTGGATTTAGCATTTTGGCAAATCCCACCACGGTTTTCCTTTAAAATTTATTTAAAATTGTGGAAGTTGCTTGTTAAATAGAGAAACCATATAATGGAAAAAGTCTTTATTACTAAATCTATTTATACAGTCGTTTTAAATCACAATTCCACATGTTTTGAGATTCTGGCAGCAATTCTGCCATTCTTTAAACACTGGGACTTAGCGCTTTTTCCAGGTGAATTTCCGTCTGGCTCCCTCCTGACCAGGCTTCTTGCGTTCCTTCACACGCGGGTCAGGTGTTAGTAGCCCAGCTACAGAAACACAGAAAAGCACGTGTTTGTTTGCTGTTATTAGTTAATATTACAGATACACTACACAGGGGGGATTCAGGCCACCCAATACCTTCGCATATGAAGTGGAACATCTAGAAGGGTAAACACACTGAAGGGAATTTCATCAGTTCCTCTAACATGTTAGCTTTTCCTCAGTAACTGAACTTCCTTCACATTGTACTTCATAAACCCCTAAAAATATCCCACACTGCTGCATATCTATACTGCTTAAGCCTTTAGAGCAGCAGACTCCACACTCTGGACTGTGCACTCCTATCAGTAAAACATTTTTGACCGTGCACCTCCAATACATGTGTATTTTTTCCTTTAAATATTACAGTACCGAAATTCTAAGATCTTCTTCCTGCACCCCCACGGATCATTCTGTGCAACACTGGAGCACTCACACCACACCCTGGTGACCCCTGATTTAGAGTACACATAGTACAAATATATACTTGTACGAATATATAAAGTAGAATTGGCACTATCCAAAACATGTTCACAGTTACGCTCATCTCATTACAGACACCCAAGTCGTCACGATGGCAGGTAACAGGGGTATTCCTAGCAAGCTGTACTTATCAGTCTGAGAATCACAGAACCACAGAACGGTTTGGGTTGGAAGGGGCCTTAAAGACCATCCAGTTCCAACCCCCCTGCCATGGGCAGGGACACCTTCCACTAGACCAGGTTGCTCAAAGCCACATCCAGCCTGGCCTTGAACACTTCCAGGGATGGGGCATCCACAGCTTCTCTGGGCAATCTGTTCCAGTGCCTCACCACCCTCTCCGGGAAGAATTTCTTCCTGATAATTCCTTCTTTTTGATAGACTGTAATCAAAAGAAACTTGTTGCACAGATAGCATGAATGTACCTTTACTTCCACGGAGAGCAACAGAGTGAAAAACGAAATCCTAGCTGTGGTTCAAGCAATACACACAGGTATCCTCCCTACTAGTCCAGGAAGAACATACTTAAAAGCTCACTGCTCATAATTCTGTTCTTGCTGAAACAGTGCAGCGTCTAATCCCTGAGAAGCATCAAATACTGCAGTTATCCAGGCACGTTCTGTCTTATCCTAGGTAACCGGTAAACTCTAAATAAAGCAAGAGGGGAGAGAAGCTCCATCACTCTGTCTAGCTGCAAGTAACATGCTTATGGTCATTACTATCCCCTCAGAGGTAACCCTCTAGCACTTAGGTTTTATTCTCAAACTTCTCAAAATGTGAACATGATGCGACTGACCAAGTAAAACAAACACAACCTCAGGACCTTACAGCTCACTACTGCCTCATCCAGATTTGTTAGTGAATATACATTCATGTTTGGTAATTCTATGCTAAGGCAATATAAGCTGGTTAATTGACCTAAGAGAGGTCAGGAACAGATGGATAAACACTCCAGAAGTCACCCAAAATGTACACAGAGGATGCCAGGAAACAAGTGAGAACAATCTATAAATAAATGCAGATCATTTTCATACAAGGTTTCCCTGGGATTATTTACTTGAATTTGCACTATCTGATCCTTAACGATCCTTGTATTAATTCTGTTAATTACCAGAAACACATTAAGAAGCACTGAAATAATTTCAATTCCTACCTTGCCTCATGAATTCTACCTCCTTTTCTGTCACGAAACTCCTTAAGGCTTTTGCAGAGGCTAAACGTATTGCTCCAGCCTGTGCAGATCTTCCTCCGCCAGACACTGTGCAAACCATATCATGTTTTCCAACTTTGTCAAGGAACTGGAAAGGGAACAACAGCTGTTCTCTAAAAATAAAGAATAATAGCAATTAAAATTAGATATATACATGTGCACAAAGTTACAAGCTACGTACATTTCTTATCACAGTATATACAAACACAGTTAACTTTCAGGCAGAGATCCAGAAACACATTCCTATCTCTCACTTCCTACTGATATCAACCATATCGATGGGAAATTAGCAGCTAGGAGCATATTCAAACTGCCAGTGCTAAGTATTTTAAATTCAGCTGTACCAGTACTTTTGTTTCACCAACTATTTATACACGCCAAGACCTGTCAGCTCTGGGTATTCAAACTGAGCAATCTCTCACATTGTTCTTGAGCTCAGGAACCACAATATAAAATAAAAATCACATGAGGGACAGAAACCTCCCTTATATCAGCCTTATGAGAAATTTTCTCTGTATCAGACTGTGCACATACTCCAAAATCTGAAGCTTTACTCAAAGTGTCTCACCTTGTTTGCTTCCACTATGTTACTGTGTGCCAGAGTAATTACACATGCATACAATTCGCAAATCTCCCAGAAAACACTTAAAAGACATTGCTTATTATTTATTTATTTTCAACATCAACTGCAAGCCCTTTCTAAGGGGATGAAAATTTGAACTATCTGAATTGTCTGTGGTTGTGGTTTCTGCATCCCTTCAGACAGGGAGAGAACAAGAAACACAAAGCAAGGGTTACCCATCAGTTCTTACACTACTGACTCCTGGAAACCAGGAGGAAAAGCAAGACCAGTTTCCACAAAACAGATAGTTATACAGAAACAAGAACACAGCATCAACTCTGTCGACCACAGCACCAGAACATAATTGCATGGCATGACTTTTGCTGGAATAATTTAAGTAGCGTACAAATAGAGCATCTCTTAGCGCTCTCACCTGTCCTGCAGCACTGGGAAGTAACTTAAAAGGCTAACTCCATTCACTGTAATTTTTCCAGTCCCATTGTCATAAACTACTGCAGTCGCTCTTGCGGTTTTTCTTGCACCTTAAAGGAATTAAAACCAATCTGTTACGAGGCCGCAATATTCTAGAGAACTTCAAGCGCTCAAGAAGTTAAGCAAATCTCAGCACTTTCATGCAGCACCAGCTGGGTTTTTTTGGGAGGCTGAGGTTAACCAAAAAAAAAAGTTAAAGAGAAGGAAATAAATACAAACAATGAACAACTAGCTTTCGATGTATTTTGTATCAATATCTATTGGGGCAGGGGGAAATGTGTGTTAGAGGGTGGGAGAGGTAACACTGCCTCCCGTAACTTCAGTATACCAGGACACTTACAGAATCATAGAATCACAGACTGGTTTGGGTTGGAAGGGACCTTAAAGACCATCTAGTTCCAACCCCCCTGCCATGGGCAGGGACACCTTCCACTAGACCAGGTTGCTGAAAGCCTCATCCAGCCTGGCCTGGAAGATGGTCAAGGATGTTGACCTGGTAATGTTACAGTTGTTGACCTGGTAATGTCACAGTATATGAAAATAAACAGATTGTTGAACACCTGCATTTACCATAAGACACTTTCTAATAATATTAGAATACTTTGTAAAATCATACAAAGGTACAGGTGTTGAATAATATTCATATGGAAAAGATTAACACTTTAATTATACTGGTATAAGCAATGCTTTCTAAGTTTCCTCAGAAATTACTACTTACAGTTTGTTCTCGCTAAGCACACAAGCTTCAACTTAAACCATGACAAACTCTCTATGCTAAACCCTAAGACCAACCTTCTGTAGCACAAAGGAAGTGATCGTTCTCATTTGTTTCACAATTCCTTTGCCAGAGATTTTTCTTAATTTAGGGGCGTGTTGGGACACAAACAAGACTGTTCCTGACCTTAGAAAATCTGATGGCTTTTATTAAATAACATGGGCTGCGTGTTTATCATATCAACCTTCGATAACCACTGTTCTGAATATGCTGTTGCAAACAAGTGCTGATTTAACCCCAGTTTGGTACGCTCACACCTCCCTGTTGTCACATCACCTTGAAGCCGACCCAGCTAGAAGAGAGCTCTCTGACCATTGTGTCCCTGGAGTTTGCTGCCACCTTGGCTTTTTTCATCATCTGCTGCCTGCTGCTGAAGAACACAGGTCATTTCTGACTAAGGTTCCCCTTAAATGTACAGCATAGACATAAAGTGTGCGTGCACGTACACCTTGTCCAGAAAGATGTCGGACTTTCCTATCCGTGCCGCTGTTATGTCATTTTTTCTAGGCAACCACGGATATCGTGTATCAGATCGTTCTTCCACTGTGTGTCCCTCCACTGAAAGCATAAGCAGCCTGTGTTTAGAGGCCAGACAGACCTTCATGGCTTTCCTCTAACATCCCCACTGTCTCAGTACCAATGACTGATGCCCGTCTGTCCCATAATGCTAACTGTGGCTTGTCCGTTTATTTGAAAAATCTAGGAATTCTCTCTTTCTGTTTCCCGAGGCTGTCTGTAAATATCCAAGTGGTTTGCTATTTATTCTTTGTATCTTCGAAATTCTCCTTTGCTGGACTGCCTACAAAAGTCAGGATAAAGGTTACTTGGTGCTCTAACCCCACCACTTCTATACTAAAGCGACACTGTTACATCCACGGAATGCTCCAGATGTGTTTGCCCACACCCCTGCCCTTTACGTTCAATAGTCAACTCCCGCCAGCCACGAAAGTCCTTTTGTATCCTACAACACGTAGCACAACAAGGTCCTTCCTACAGAAGCACCAGTAGAAATACAGGTAAGAACTAACAGCTGATAGACTCTGGGCCAAAAACTTCCACTTCATTACCAGCCAATGCCAAAATTTAGTATGCCCTAAAATAATTAACATAGGCGCATAAAACGAAGTAGAATCATAGAATCACT